AACAATTAATGCAAAAAAAAAAATTATTAATAACTGTAAAAAACGAGCTAATAATAAATAACTAGTAAAAAACGAGAAATTTCAGATTAACATTGTAAAAACAATTTATTAACAGTTAATAACTAATAAAAAACAAAACAAAAGAACAATTAAGCGATACGAGTGAAAGAAAGCGAAATAAGAATCAACGCGACCTCCCTGTCTCCAACGAGATCGCGTTGGAGACAGGGAGGGAAGAGAGGAACATTTCAGATAAGCAAAACCTGAAAAATAAAGACCCCCCTCACTGACGCTGCTGCCTTTGTTGATTTCTGAAAAGAAATTGAGAGCGCGTTCGTCAACTCTCCGCTCCTTTCCATTGATGGATCTTGATCTGACTGGTTGCGACGAATGTTAGGTTCTCAGATAAGCTTAGGTGGCTTAGTGCCGGAAACTGCCTCAAGAGATTTTTCGAGTTGAGAAAAGAAATCCCTCTTTTCCTTCACCAGTTTTTTCCATCAGAAAACCTTGAACAAGAACTTTTGAGCATGGATTTTTCACGTCACCTGGCATTTCTAACTGATATTACTGGCCACCTCAACGATGTGAACTTAAAACTACAAGGAAGAGGCCAACTGGTGTCTGATCTAATGGCACACATTAATGGGTTTAGAAGCAAGCTGAAAATTTTCCATGCAACTTTGAGAAAAAATAACTTATCTCACTTCGCCAGCTGCAGTCGTTTGGCATCAGAGTGTGAGGAAGTGCTGGATTTTTCTGAATATTGCCCTGAGTTGCAGACAATTATTGATGAATTCAACACGAGATTTTCAGATTTTGAGAGCATCAAGAACGACGTGGCTCTGTTTAATAATCCAGTCACAGCAGGAATTGAAGAACAACCGGCCAACCTACAATTAGAGCTCCGNGCAATCAAGTTTGAGAAACAATAAATTCAGTATTTAATAATCAATTTAATATTCAACATTCTACGTTTATTTTTACTCCTCAATTTAGCAATATTGATCAAGATTTCAGTCTTCGAATTATTATAAATTTAAGATAACGGAACAAAACTCACTCTCAATCTTAAAATACCATTTCAAGATCAATGGAATTATTTGTAGCTAAAGTTTATCTTCACTTGGCAATCTCTTAATTCTATTGACAGACATGAAATTATGACCATGAGTTTAGATGGTACACTTTCAGAACCTTAATGCGACCCAAATTTACCGCAATCTTAATAAGGTGTTCCATTGGACTATGTTTCTGTTCAAGTTGGGCCAATATATCGCGTTATCAAACTTAAAAAGTAAGATAATATGGTTCAACTTAGCATTGTATTTAGGTTGAAGTAAATTTCATCGATAATGTGGTTCAACAAGCTCCGGGACAGCCTGATTGGTATGGCATTGAACTCTTGTTCGCGAGAAAGAGATTTCGAATCTAACCGACTGAAGAATATTGAATGGTGACATTAACTCTATCTGGGTCACAAAATCCACCAAGTTCTCATATTAAATTAATACCTCTGGGTGTACAGATACAGGTGTACCATTGTCTTCAAGATTGGGTTCAAAATTACCAGGCTACAGAGTTGAACACTGGTAATTGTTAACTTAACTTTGGGTCTGCTGTTCAACGACGGTGATAAAATATGGTTCAACACGTTCAAAATTTCCGGCAACGTAAAAAAATATTGGACGAGAAAAATTTAGTTGTAACATAATGTGGCTTCAGCAGTAAGCTAAATATGGATTTCAGATTTCTATATATGAATTGCAGCTGGATCTATTATTAATTATCATAAACTAATCTAATATGCATAACCGATAAAATAGAATGCTTACTAGCAAAGTGGGATACAGATCAATTCCAGACGGCTGAAAAAATTGATAACACCGTAGAAATAGAAATCTCATCTAGAAAATCGAACAAATGAATTTTTATTAGAATCACGAATCTCCCAGCAATAAAAATCCCCTGCACAGGTCCCCTTAATCTAGCTTAACAGTAAAAGCTATTCGATTGGTGTGGTTTCGATTTCCCATTTTTTGTTTCTTTTTATTTGTTGAAAAAAAGCTTAGAATAATAATAAAAAAAGGTCGGAAGTGAGTAGTTTTTCGGTTCATTTTTTGGCATGGCCTGTTTTGTTGCACTCTGATGGGTCAGGTGTTTGAGTCACCGGACCGTAAAAAAATACAGCAGCTTCGCTAGCTGTCCAAAACCGACAGCTGCACAAGCTTTTTTAGTTACAACAGCTTGTCCGTTAGACTAAGGATTCCGTGAGCCTTCAGCATACAAGCCGCCGTTTATTAGGATAACGCAACGATCACGCAGGTCTCGGTGATACTATCTGGGATGTCATTCATGTTTTTATCTAGATTTAATGACACTCGAATAACGCTCGAACTTCTTACCGTTATTCATTTCACTTAGACATACAACTATATTCAGATCAAGATATGTGCTCAAATTTATTCACTTTGAAGGTCTATGTTTAATCTATATAAATATAACCAAAAACTCTAAATCTAACCATTTCATACAATAATATTCAGATCAAGACATTCAAATTAATTTGATCAAAATGTCTATGTTTAATTAACATAAAAATGTCATAACGATTAGTCTGTCAAACTAAATTTCAATTTTTTTTTGTATTAATTTTTATGGAATGATAAACTGCCGCAAAAAATTTTTAATGATCTATTTCAGATAATTTATTTTAACTTAAAATATCAAAAAATAATTATTTTTAAAAATTTTACTATCAAGCTAAAACGCATATATTTGCATACATTTATTTGTGCCTAAATTTAATTATCAGTGTATCAATGCAATTTAAATATAACTTGAAATATTAAAGAATGTTACTCGCTTAAGTTGTATTATCAGGCTAAAATGCACTTATTTGTATCAATTCCTTCATGCATAAATTCATTCATCAAAGAATTCATTCATTTTAATTCTTACTTAAGAAAATTAAAGAATGTAACGAGTCTTGTTAGATTTTTCTTTTAAATTATAATATGAAGTTGAAAGGAAAGTGCTAAATACATATATTTGTGTAAAGTTCATTTAGACAAATTCATGTATAGG